GATGGTACTTGTTGTTACCCTGTCCGGCGTTGGGCATTAAGGGGCTACAACAAGGACTGGTCGGCTCGGAGTCAGTATACTGTGTCTGAGTGGGGTATTCATGTTAAACTGCGGCATGGTGTCTCAGTGAGCTAGCACTATAAATCGGCATCAGTCCGGACTAGTACAAGCAGCAACACACACACGTACACGCACGTCGCTATATAAGTGCAATAATCTTGGAAGCGACGTTAAACCCAATCTCACCTCACCACTGATGTAATACAGGCAATACTCCCAGGTTTCACATCGAGAAGTACAGAGTGAGAAAGTATAATATTATGATGTCTTACTAATATAGCTTTATACTACGGTGGCCCATAAGGGACATGGAGTCTGTTTTTCCATATTTTGATATTTCACTTACATTTATCGTAACCTTTTGCAAATTAACACGATTTGTCTTACAAATATGTGATAAAGCATATTTGTATGGCAGATTGTGTTAATTTGCAAATGGTTAAGATAAAAGTAAGTTAACATCAAAATATTGAAAAACAGACTCCATTTCCCTTATGGGCCACCGTATTATACATATAAACTGAAAAATGTTTTCAAATGGTTGTATTTGTGGTAGCATAATCAAATTAAATTTGTGGATTATTGGATATTCATAAAATTATTACTATTTTCGAGGTGTATTTTTAGTTAAAGTCTGAATTGAAGCCACCAGTAATACAGCTTATAGAGGCACTGCTACAGCCAACAGAGCGTGTGGTTTGTCCCCGTGTGAACCTTTTAACAAATTTAACATCCGTGTCTCATTTCTCATGCAATCGGCCTTATGTCTTTACTCGTTTTTTAAATAATTAGTGAAAGATTGTGAATAAAGGCCAAGTGTGCTTGTACCACACTGAGGTGTTGGTAAACAGCACACAAATGCTGGAAAGATTAATCGCAGGGTATTTGTCAAATAGATTGCTTTATTCCCAAGATAGTACAAAACGTATTAGCAGAGTAATGTAATATTTCTCTTCAAAGGCTGTTAGAAAAAATGAATTTGACATTCGTACGGCGTGAGGAAACAAACAAACACTTACATTTTTATGCAAATTGCGTGCATTTCGCGAACGCCTGACGTCATCACTTATTTTGAATGATCCAATCATATCATTTTCACCTCTATTTCGCCCTTTACGACCAGTGAAATCTGTTTTAGCAGATATTCAAGACTGATTATTCTCTGCCTTTGAGGTTTTCTCTACATTTTCAGTCCACTATGAGTGAGTGAGTATGGGTTTACGCCGCTTTTAGCAATATTCCAGCAATATCACGGCGGGGGGACACCAGAATTGGGCTTCACACATTGTATATACCCATGTCGAGAATCGAACCCAGATCTTCGGCGTGATGAGCGAACGCTTTAATCACTAGGCTACCCGACGCCACGCAATCCAAGATGAATAAATTACCAGTGCTATATATTTACAAGAACAAAGAATATGCTTTTTCGTGTATTAAAACTTAGATACGTTACCACATTTACTGAAATAATATATATATTGACGCCAGGGCTGTGATAACACAGCACCACTATCAGTCTCAAACAGTTGATCTGGGTGGTCCTTTCTTGGAATATGATAAACAAAGATAAGAAGTTTATGTTGGATGTTCCGAGTATCATGTAGGTGCTGCTTTAGGACCCTTGACATCACTTTGAGTGAGTGAGTGAGTGAGTTGGGTTTAACGCCGCATTTAACAGTATTCCAGTTATATCACGGCGTGTCAGCTTAATATGGGAGGAAAGCCCGAAGTGATGCAGGTCTCAGACGCTTACCACTTCGGTGAAACGCAAGGGTATGGTGCTGACAAACCTAGAAACATAATCGGGGCGAACCGGGATTCGAACCCACAATCATAGGTTTCTGGCGCGACCAAGGGACGCAACTCTGCACGGCGAATCGCGGCGGTTTAGACGACTGGGCCACCCCTGCCCCCGACATCACTTTGAAGTGACCAGATGTGCGACAAATATTACCACAACATCTAATCATTTTAATAAGCGGTAGGGGAGCCTCATGGTCCAAGCATTCGCTTATCCCACTGAAGGCCAGGGTAAAATGTATGAAGCCAATTTTGGGGGTCCCCGCCGTGATATTGCTGGAATATTGCTAAAGACGGCGTAATATCAGATGTGCGACAAATATTACCATAACATCTAGTCAACTTAGAGGTAAGGTAGCCTCGGGGTCCAAGCATTCGTTTATCCCACTGAAGGCCAGGGTAAAATGTGTGAAGCCCATTCCGGGTGTCCCCGCCGTGATATTGCTGGAATAGTGCTAAAAATGGCTTCATACCATACGTACTCATTCACTGACATTTTAATATAGAAATAATACTCCCTGTAATGTTTCTGATTGGCTGTTTATATCCACAAATACTCTCAAAACTTTCCAAAACGGAAATGTGTTTTCATTTCTGCGTTTGGAAGTAAATTTTTCATCTCAGCAATATTCCAATTATATGACGGCGGTCTGTAAATAATCGAATCTTGATAGACAATCCAGTGATTGACATCATGAGCATCTACGCAACCTTTTTCATCTAGTTATATAGTTTTCAACAATAACATTACTGCTATCATCTTCATCTTCCTCTTCCTCTCTTCACCTTTAACATATTTAGATACAATGAGTCGCATTATTCCGGAAACACATTCGTGATTACTTGTTAAGGAATCTAGCGATCTGACTGGCCAGCCACCGTCCTGCAAAACCCCATACAAGACAGCTGGCATAATGCTTGCTGTCGTGTCACTTGCAGCACTGTGTGCTCTTTGAATTACCACACTGATAGACCGGTGGCGCTCTCAAGATAAACCTAATTGTCACACACAATTGTTTCACCTTAAATAAGTCTTTGTAACTGGAGAACACATAATGGTGAATTCGAAACATGTATATCTAGCGGAATATGCGGTATTCCATGAACTGAAAGTTCAACAACAGTGGTCAACAAACCAATTCAGCTCGTAAAATCTCGAACACTCTTGTATTGGCACAGGCAGCTTGTAACTCCTGGCAGCTTGTTGTGCAAATTACCTCTGTAATTTGAATCGACAATTCAGAAATTTGATGACGATACTACTGGAATTGCCCTGTGGAGATTCCGGTTAAAATGTTACCAGCAACCTATTCTGGTAGAAAGAGACGACTTAATGGATCCGGTGGTCAAGTTCAGGGACTCTGCCGATTGCTTGTCATCCTTCCCGACGGCGTGGATTGCTGGTCTTAATATCAATCACCGGATTGTCTGGTCAATACTCCATTATTTACAGGTCAAGGTCATATAGGCCCAATGCGGCTTTAAACAACAAACAGTCTACTGGAATGAATCTTTAATCTCAAACCTCTTTCAATAAGACGTTTCGGTTGGTCCTGACCTTTAACAGATATCGGCCAAAATCAAACCAAAAAGAGAAACCGTTTTAGAGAAATTAAGTTCAAAGACACCTAGGATTGAGTTCTCAATGGCGTTAAGTCGGTGCTGGAAAGCTTCTTGAAGCCTTCTTCACGAACACATTTAAGTTTCTAAGTTGTGTAGACCAGCAGCGTAGAAGTTAATGTTCTTAACGCTGCAGCGGAATGATAGATGTTATAATAGACTTTTTGTGTTTTTTTTCTGGATGGGTACTTTCGAGCGGCCAGTTATCACCAACCCCCGTTATAGCGCAAGTGATCGCATCTCGCCTTTCTTTTTCTCGTTGTCATTAGAAGAGAGAAATATTTATCCGAAAATGATAAACAAAACTGACACTTGTTAGGAAATATTAAAAACACACCATATAAGCACCTTGCTCAAATAAAACTTGAGAAAAGACACGCGGATGACTTCTCGCAGAAACAGATCTAGAAATCCAACAACAGGATGATGCACATTTAGTTCTGCCATTTCTTATCATATGTCTGTCATTTTTTCCTATAAATACCATTCTAAAACCTAATTTAAAATCTTCCAAAATGCATAACACGTAATATTGCAAAAAACATAGCACACAGAATATTTATTTTCGTAAGTTGACAAGAACATAAGTTGATAAAAAACCCATTTCATATTAATTTTAATGAATAAAATAATTGAGTGCGATACCAGAGATATGTCATTCTTATAATTGAAGCGGTGCGCATGATCCCATTATGTGTAACCTTAGTATATCGCGAAAGCCATAGAACATAGTGCTACGGATAAGGATGTGTAGAATTTGGGGGATATATTGGTTTACGTCGGCTGGCAGATGACAAATTGATAAAAGCACTTATTTATTAAATTTAATGAATAAAATAATTGAGTGCGATACCGTTTCATCGTTTTGATTCCCTCGCCGCATTTATACGGTAATCAACTCTAACCTTTTTCCACGGACAGAAATAAGCGTATTTACTCATAGTTTCACAAAAATCAAAGTTATTGGTGCAATCAATTTTATACACAGAATATTTCAGAAACAACACGAAAACATGCCAGCTAGGCATTAAGATCCTTGTTTTTCCATGGTTAAATTCAACCTTATAGGTAATTTACAACTGAAGAATAAAATTAATAGTTAATAATTAATAGTTATTAAACCGTAATTATGTTTCCTCAATCCAAGGTATAATAAGTTTCTTTTATCACCTAAGTCCCTGTTAGAAATGAGTAAGTGAGTGAGTAAGTTGGGATTAACGCCGCTTTGAACAGTATTACAGTTATCAGCTTAATGTGGATATATAAAGCCCGAAGTGATGTAGGTCTCAGACGTTTACCACTTCGGTGAAACCCACGAGCATGGGTACGATGCTGACAAACATAGAAATTTAATCTGGGCGAACCAGGATTCGAACCCACAAACATAAGTTTCTGGTGTGCCCAAGGCAAATCTGCACAGCTTAGCGGCGCCGTAGACGACTGGGCCACCCTACCAGGCCTGCGAATGAGCAGATACTAAATCGTGTTGTGTGGGCTACAAAATAAAACCTTGTTAGTTGCACAACCTTTTATTCCCTATTTACAATAACTGACAAAATATATAAGAAACTCTGATAAAACGCGTATATAATTTATCTGTAACCAGCGGTCACTTATAAATGTCATCAACCAACAAGACTTCATTTGTCACACAATAAAAGAAAGAAGTCACAGCTTATACAACAAAACAAAGGAATTAACAGCTCATCATACAGAGAAGATAGAAATTTACAGTTTGTCAAACAATAGAACAAAAGAATTTACAGCTTGTCAAACAATAGAACAAAGGCATTTACACCTTTGTCAAACAATAGAACAAACGAATTTACAGCTTGTCAAACAATAGAACAAAGGCATTGACACCTTTGTCAAACAATAGAACAAAAGAATTTACAGCTTGTGAAACAATAGAACAAAGGAATTTGCAGCTTGTGAAACAATAGAACAAAGGAGTTTACACCTTTTTCAAACAATTGAACCAAGGAATTTACACCTTTGTCAAACAATAGAACAAAGGAATTTAGAGCTTGCCAAACAACAGAACAAAGAAATTTACAGTTTGTCAAACAATAGAACAAAGGAATTTACACTTCATCATACATTACAACAAAGGGATTTACAGGTGGTATAAACAATCGTCCTACAAATGGTATGAAACATACAAATCTAGTTGAGTACATAATAATGTATATTGCACTGCCTATATACCAGTGCGGGTGTCATCACATAGAGGGACAAAGGTAGAAAAATATGATATGAATAGTGAAATATGATATTATCACTATTTATTCTTTTATCTATTTTTACTTCTATTTTAATTCTAAGTAAACAATATTGATAAAACATCTAAAACATCAAATGAAAAGAGTTGTTTAGAAATCGTTTTAAAACCCTCATGTCAGCTGTAACTGCTGAAGATATGCCAGCACTTCACAGTACCTTATTGCTATGAATGTGTTCATCAATGCAGCTTATCTTAAACAATACTAAACATTGAAAAATTTGAAAACAGTACATTTGTGAATGAGTAAGTGCTAACCACAGGTAAGCCTTGTGAATATAACAACATTTGTGGATCATATTTGTAAATTATCCATCTGGGTTTCACCGTAGGTGGACAATCACAGACTTACTGGGTTTCACTGCATGTGGACAATCACAGACTTACTGGGTTTCACTGCATGTGGACAATCAGAGACTCACTGAGTTTCACTGTATGTGGACAATCACAGACATAAGCTTCACATTTATCCTGGGACTGACCATTTGATATTTGATAGGGGGTAGATATAAACAGATGTTGGGATAAAAAAAACAACACTTATTCCAGAAATTTATTGAAAAAAATAATTTCGTCCTCAGGTTTTAGCTAAAAACAATGTTGTTCACTAGAAATACTGAATGTCATAAAAAACATTTGGTGTAAAGCTCCTGCTTTTCCAGAAACTAGTTACAAAAAAAAAAAAATCCTATCTCTAACAAAAATATCAGACTCCCTTAGATATTAAATGGAAGGTCCCTTATATTAAGATTCCTTTCTCCCCATCAGAAATAATCATCCCATGTCGTTGTGGTATAAGTCTTCCGGTAATGCAGCAGAGGTACTCTTCTGACAACAGGAACCTACCTTGTACCAGGTCATTGACCTTTGGTACCAACAGACCTTTCTTATGGTACCTAACAAAGAAAGTGGCTCACAACAAAATTCTGCAATTGCTGGCATGCATCATGTGTTAATAAATTTGAAATCTTCATTTTACTGTAGAAGGTTTTATTCCACACAATTATTGGTTTATATGTCTTCGATTCGGGTTGAGCTGAATGTTCTTCAAAATGTCAGAACTCTCCATGCATTTCCATTTTCAGATTCAGTGACAGAACTTCTAATACGATCCATTGTAATTTAACATAGAACTGTCTGAGGAGCTGCCATCTTTTTCAGAATGAAATATTCTTGCAAAAGAGTGACAGACTGATTTGTAGTCCATACCGTTTTTGCCATATTAAGTGCCCAGTTCCAATTAGTGCACCTTGACCAACATCTGGACCAATTCAGAAGTCATCTTCACAACTGCTCCCTTAAAAGACCGTAAATATACAGTCCTTATTCAGTTGTGTATATTGCAGATTATTTACAGAAAACAGCCATGTAGAATATATATATACTTGCCTGGTATCTACAATATATTAGTTTTAATGATATTGGAACAAAGTTTGTCAACTGCTGCTTGATATCTGACAATAAATTGAACTCTATGTCAATAGTTGGAATCGTACAATCGACTTTCTTGGACACATCATACATATATAAAGTTGAAACTGATACTGAACTGAGATTGTGTGATCATTTTTACATTGCTTAATGTTGTACAATGCAAAAAATACATCTTTAAGTGACATTTTAGAAGCAGCAGTATTAATGAAGACAGAGTTGGCCATGGATTTCCACTTCTTAATTCTTCCATTGCAACATCTGTACTAAAACATCACATTAAAAGATTAAAGAAGTCGAAATCCATAAGTCAAAGATGTCTTCATTGCCAAAGAAGTAACATCCAAGAAGTGAAAACAAGTATTGTAACGGCATCTTGATGTCAAGGTCTCTTCACAAATGAGGCCATAAATTAGGTCACAATGGCACAGAAAATGTATTCAGATAATTTATTATGCCATTGAGCATTCACTCTAATCTAATCATTCTCACTGAGTATTTCAATTTTCATTTCCTTTGGGTATTCAACATATTTTATCACTCCCTCGATCATGTTTTGAATTTGTAAATTTTACCTTTGCCTTCCTCCCTAAGAATCTGCAGCACGAATTAGCCTAATTGTAACAAAATATTGATGTGTAGATTAACTGTTATTCATTTCGTCAATCACAATACATATTCATACAATCTTGCTGAACTGCGTGATAAATCTATTGGGACAGACATAGTTTTTTTGTTTACAGATTTTGACCCTGCAAAATCTGGATGGTCGAAAAAGACAACATAATAAAATGCTTTGTACGAGATTTGTTTGCGTGGATCGATGCTCATGATATCAATGACTGGATTGTCTGGTCCAGATCGATTATTTACAGATGGATTTATAGCTGGAATATTGCTGAGTGCGGCGTACCAAACAACAAACCAAACCAAAAAATGAGATTTGTGTAATCCTCTTAAAGTTTGATTTGGATCAGTGAAAAAAAACCTAAAAATTCTTGGCCTGGTTTGAAGCCTTATAAGATTATTAATCTAAAATTTAACAGTGGCATTTCACTGTCATTTTTATTGTCAACACCTTGTCATTCCAATTATGTTTTTTTGAAAATGTCAGTTTTAAAGATCTTTTGAGCCATATACCAAGCATAAAACCAAGAAATCTTATTTTCTATAAATGGGAGAGTGAACAATATTGAAAAGCACAGTATGTAACACCGTGAGAATACAAACAGGGTACAAAAGGAAATACAATGTTATCATAAACAAAACAAACTAGCAATACTAAGTATGTTATGTGGTAAAATCTCTTTAAAAAAATAGCCACTTGAGTCAAATTTACGTAATTCAAATTATTATTTGAATGTACAGGAGCAGAGTTACCTCCCTTTCAAGGACCAGTCATCATTTTCCCACTATCAACACATATTGCAATACAATCACATCATCACTATACAGTTTTTACTATACAAATCAGAAAGTTCCATGGAGTCACAGTGACACCTACATGGCTCCATGGAGTCACAGTGACACCTTAATGGCTCTATGGAGTCACAGTGACACCTACATGGCTCCATGGAGTCACAGTGACACCTATATGGCTCTATGGAGTCACAGTGACACCTACATGGCTCCATGGAATCACAGTGACACCTACATGGCTCCATGGAGTCACAGTGACACCTACATGGCTCCATGGAGTCACAGTGACACCTACAGGGCTCAATGGAGTCACAGTGACACCTACATGGCTCCATGGAGTCACAGTGACACCTACATGGACGCGTTCTGTCTGTTGCCATCTGGATGTAATATCATCAACATTGTCACAGATCACATCTAACAGATCACAGAAAACACATCTGGTGGTAATAATAGTATTTAGTGCAGTTTTATCACATGTATAGGAAGTGTGTCATTTAGGGTTTTGTTTTGATGGTTAAGGAACTGACAAAAAAAATAATTATTTCCGTGATCACTAACAAGGAAATGTGTCACAGATATTGTACATACACTGAAAGCAAGGTGTATATACTTCAAGAAATGATCAAACAATACAATTTCTTAGATCCAAAAAACAGAGAACTCTGGTAAGGGAGAGATATTCCGGTGTGTGTGTAGTGTGTGTGTAATGGTGTTGGGCTGGCATTTTTAGGTAGTGTCAGTATAATTTTTGGTGTTACTGCTTCAAGATATTCAATTTTGTTCTTGGAAAATATCTTTTTGTAAATTTGCATGTTTTTTGCCAGAAAATCCATCATGTTTGTCCATAATTGTTTGTTATTTGTAAAACCTGAGACAAAAAAATGCATTTGCTATAACCATCACATTTTTTTTTAAAATACCCAGGACCCTCCTCAGGGTCCTGAATATAAAAAGGCTGATGCCTTAGATACGCTCCAACTGATATGGCGCATGTGTTATGCATCGTAAGGTGCACCAGGTAGAAATGTGATCAGATGAAAGGCAATATTAACACAGTAAAACTCCTACTTGTGTGAGGGTGAGTTGGGTTTTAGCACTGCTTTGATTAGTATTCAAGTTATATTATGTTGTGTCAGCTTCATGTGGGTGGAAAGCCCAAAGTGTCCTAATTGTAATCAAAGTAGCTGTAGATAATGTTACCATTCAAATAGTTCAGCTTCCGTGTAATTTCATATCAAGTTCAGAGATCAGTAGGTCAAGGTCATGTAATCAAGGTCAGTGCAGTGTATGTATTTCTAACGTCTCTTTGGCGACTCAGAATTCACATTTCAATGATGGACATCTCAACTGAGTGTATGTACCATGAGTTGGGTTACGTGAGAAAATGTGAAGGTCATTTTCAGAGATCATTGTCAATATTTTGTAATCCATCTGTCACTGAATTCATTCATTGTAGTATGTCAAATGCCATATTTCTTCTTGTATGACACATGTCATGAAATTGAGGTCAAGGTCATTTATCCTCCAAGGTTAAGGTCACACAAACACATCGTTCATCAGACACGTAGCGAAAACTTCATGTTGAAACCACTCTGACGACAAAGATGACAGGAGAGCACAAGGTGATGACATCACAGCAGGAATTGATGATGTCATGACATCTGATGACATTACAACAAAACTGATGACATCAACACTAGTTTTGATGACACCAACTGACTCGCCGTCAAGAAATGACATGACATCCCAATTTTAATCACTGAAGTAAAGGTTGGTGTGGAGCTTGGTATGCAGAATACCCACAAAACACAGGGCCCTGTTCCACAAGCAGTCCAAGTGCTATGCCCGTCAACGTCTTAACTCTGCAACATTAACACTGTTCTCACACAGTCATAGCACTGTAGCCGCTTGTGGAAGGATAACAGCTTGTATTTTGTCCCAATCTGCGACCTTATACCACTGATAGTACAACACATCGTCAATAATTCGTGGCTTTGGATACTCTATGTTCCTCCATAACCAATGAATACATCTGGCCACGATACAGCAAAGTCATGACCTATATGTTTAGTCAAGCGATGACATGAGACTGTGTTCAACAGTTGAAAGTAAAATGAGCCAAACTCAGTGCAATCCCTCCTGTTGCCCAATACTGAACATAAAACTCCCTGACCATCAACCGAACCAGATTCCACTAGGCACAAAACCATATGAAACAATGAGTTCACTGGATTGTGCCAAGACTGGGTCACATGTTGCACGACAACTATTGCCCATTGTGTGATCTATCAAAACATTCACTGGTCAGAGCACTCGCTGATTTTGCTCTCACCAAAAACAGATCATGGCTTAAGTTGTTGTTTGAATTAGCATCATCACTGCAAAGCTGCAGATGTTTTCACAGGTGATGGAGGACATAGTGGAAACCCAAACCCAAGAAGTCTTGACGTTGGGTACAGCATCACCACTTCACAACCATTTGAGACACATGGTTTTGTTTAGTTCCGTCATCTCGTCGTCTTCCTGGCGTCAGCTGAGGTTGTGCCACCTAGCAACTGCATTCTTGGCACTGATGAGGTCCTTCCAGTGAGCTATCTCATCTCCTTCCGAGGCAGGACCGAGCTGACTTTTGCCCAGCAGTTCATCATTGCCGATCTTATTGTCATGGTATACAGCTAGCTCCAAGCATATATTGTTGAGGAACTCCTTGCCAAGGTTAAACACCAGAGCTTCATTCCAAACAGGATTTGTTGTGTTGTGTTTTGTTGAGGTCTTCTTCTTCTTTAACTTCTTCCCGGAAAAGGATAAGGTTGCTTTCACATATGGATCTGAAAGAGGAATAGGAAGTTTAGAAAAATAAGGGTATTGAATAGGACTTGCAAAAAACAGTTTTTGTTTGTTTGTTTGTTTAACGCCACACTCAGCAATATTCCAGCTATATGACGGTGGTCTGTAAACAATCAAGTCTGGACCAGACAATACAGTGATTGACATCATGAGCATCCATCTATGCAATTGGGATGAGATGGCATGCATCAACCAAGTCAGCGAGCCTGACAACCTGATCCTGTTAGTCACCTCTTTCGACAAGTATGGGTTGCTGAAGACCAATTCTAACTTGGAATCTTCACAGGACTTAAACTGTTTTTGATTCATTTCAGTAGGTTTATGACTTTTTGAATTTGATCCCACGCAATTGGGATCGATGACATGTATCAAATAAGTCAGCGAGCCTGACCACCCGATCCCATTAGTCGCCTTTTACGACAAGCATAGTCACCTTTTACAGCAAGCATGCATTGCTGAAGACCTATTCTACCCCGGAATCTTCATGGGCACCGGTAATAATTAATGCCATGCTGATGTTTGCAGGTCTAGAGTGGACATGGGCACCAGGTGCCCCTTTAATAACACAAACAGCATTGTTACAGCTATGAATTAGGAGATACACCACTGGGGTCTGAAGTTTGAGGTAGCCTCACTGTAGATTATACACCTCTTATTTCATTTAGAATAGAGCACTTTAGCATGACCTCAAATTTCAAAACACAGAGGGTTTATCTCCATTCTACCATGACAAAATTAAACGAGAATCCTTTTGTGTCAGTGCAGATGTTGTTTGAAGTGGAATTGATTGAGTACAATGATTTGAGTGGGTTTACGATCTAAATTAAGGAAACACAGCGAAAAGCCTTTGATGGATGGATGGAAGGATGGTTTGTTGTTTAACGCCGCACTCAGCAATATTCCAGCTATATGACGGCGGTCTGTAAATAAAAGAGTCTGGACCAGACAATCCAGTGATTAATATCATGAGCATCGATCCACGCAATTGGGATCGATGACATGCATCAACCAAGTCAGCGAGCCTGACCACCTGATCCCGTTAGTCGCCTTTTTACGACAAGCATAGTCACCTTTTATGACAAGCATGGGTTGCTGAAGACCTATGCTACCCCGGAATTTTCACGGGTCTAAAAGCCTTTGAACAAATAATGATGCAGTCTATGTTTAGATATTGGTTTTTTAATATTTTTAATTTTTTTGCATCATTACGCTTTACTCTCATATATGACAGGCATTTAAAGCATGGGTCACAGCTTGCCGTAAAAGACGACGATGCTTGTCGTAAGAGGCGACTAACGGGATCGGGTGGTCAGGCTCGCTGACTTGGTTGATGCATGTCATCGTGTTCATATTGCGTGGATCAATGCTCATGATATTAATCACTGGATTGTCTGGTCCAGACTTGATTATTTACAGACCACCATCATATAGCTGGAATATTGCTGAGTGTGATGTTAAACAACAAACCAACCAATTGGACATTGTTCATAATATCAATCCCTGATTTATCTGGCCCAGACTCAAGTTTTTACAGGCTTCTGTGATACAGCTAGAATATTGTTCACTTCAAACTAAAACAAAAAACAAACACATATTGCAGCAGTCTCTTAGTAAATAATTGATGTGTTATTATTGTTTCTAAATAATATCACCAGTATCAGAACATAATCCCAGCTGCATTTTTCGAATTTGTTTCTTATCTCATGCCAATCTGAAATTTTCATCATGGTGAAAAGCTGCTTTTAAATCCACCCATTCACGTTTCTGAATATGTATTATCACATGCTTGAAATTGAACAAACACACTTGAAAATATAATGATAGCACTCCCTCATTACACTAAAAACTGATCTTCAACCCATGTTTGTCGGAAGGGGCAACTGAAGCCATCATATACCAAATTGCATTGATCCATGCTCATGATGTCAATCACAGGATTGTCTGGTCCAGACTCGATTATTTACAGACCGCCGTCATATAGCTGGAATATTGCTGAGTGTGGCATCAAACAACAAACAAACTGAAAACTCAGTTGGGTGCAATGTGCAAATCCTATCCCATCTCTCTATCCTAAGTGTTCAGTGAGGCTGTCTTATTGTTGACAGTCATTTGGAGACATAAATGCGAAGTTGATTAATGCGAGCAAAGAGCACTTGCATTTTTAGCATTTATTTCACGCTCGCATTAATTTCAAGATTTACAGTATATGGAATATTCCTTAAATATCATGGGAATATTGCTGGAATATTCCCTGAATTTACTGCAATACTGGAGGGATATTGCCATAATATTGCTGGAATAATTCCAGAAAAATACTGCAACATTGTTGGAGCATCACTGTAGTGTTGCAAGAATGTTGCAAGAGTGTTGCAAGAATATTGCTAAAAGCAATGTTTAACCCTTCTCACTCACTCTTAGACCTATTGAGCACAGTTCCAATGTGAGACAGTACAATGTTTGAGCCACTCTCCTGGCCTAATGGCTGCTAGCCTCACGAAATACCCTTCTTAATCTCATTTCATTCTATGGTCCTCTGTGCGTCTTCAATAACATTTGCAATTTTCAACCAGTTTCAGGTGAGTCCGGAAGGTGACAGCGTGGACAATCAGCAACAGAAACGTTATTATTCCCAGTTGAAGGGCACCCTCAGTGACATTTCCTGGCTCATAAAAGCACCCCAAAATAGAATATTGATGAGCGAAAGAGACATGTCAATTTTGACGAGCCATCAGGCAAAGCCATTAATTCATTAGATTTACCAGCCTAGGAACATGTGTTGAAATACAGGACCAGAGCTTGACCACAGTCCTGATCTTAGTGCTTGGATTGTCTTTGGTCTTTCTTTGACAGTAAGAGTTAGAATGGTCTTAGTGCTTACACAGACTTATATAGGTCTGTGGTGGTCATAATGACTGCAATTTGAAATGATGCCAATGTTCAAAAACCATCTAGTTTGAGAGGCCTCCTCAATAATTTACTTTGCATTTTTTAAATATTTCACAAATGTGAAACAATTAAGAGACAATCCTATTTTCTTCCTGCCAAGACTGGAACTAAATTCAGTAATGAAAAGAACTTTAAACTCTTTCACTTTTTATCAAAAAGAGTGTTTCATGTCTTTATTACCTCACTGACTGACAATTGTTCTAGATCACCTTAAAAACATGTTCTCAAAAAGATTTTATTTTTATTTTGACAACAGACCATGGACAAAAATCCTGAAAATATGTGATCAAAGAGGAAAGAGCTTACAATAAACCAAATTGAAGCTCCACTCAGCTAATAATTAACTTTTGAATTATATATCATTCATTTATTTCGTTATTTGAGGGCTTAATCGCATTTAACCTGTCCTTGAAAGTATTAGTATTGAGTGCTGCATTATTGGCTAATGAGGAGAAAATCCTGGATTTGTATCCTGCTGATCATTTATTGCATCACTGAAGTGGAAACTAGCATCCGAGTGCATTTGATTAAAAGGCACTCAGTCTTTTTTGACGACTAAAGGATGAAAGCCTGTCCCTGTTTGAGTTCGATTTTGAAGTTTTTACTTAAGTGGACATGAGATATTTTGTTCAATGGTCATAGTTACTGTGCCAATATTGCTTTCAATGTATGTAATAACTGGTTGATTTAAAGAGAGAGATGATTAGGTCTGGGAATTGCGTAAGGCAACTATGCAAACACCTGTCAATGCCTTCCATTCTGTGCAATTTGTAAGGTAATTTTAAAGTTAATGTGCATCGGAGGTTTAATTTGAAGAAGATGATTTCTCGTAGTCAAACATGGCCTTGATGGAGTCGCCTTGTTGCGAAAGTCCCTTGATAGCAGATCATAGATCCAGTTTGTTTGTCATCAGATGTTCTACACAAGTGCTACAAATGAGTTCTACAGCTCGATAGATTGGTTTCCTCCATAAAATGTTGCAATGCAAACAAATTCTGGACAGATAACATGTAGCAATCAGCACTACCTTCAACTTCAGTGTACATTTATATTATGGGCTGAAACAATTTGCACTGTTTGAGTGGCATTCTAGAAGTTGGGGAGTAAATACGAAAATGTACAATTTTATGGATAACAACTTGTTTAATTGCATGTAGCATTCTACATTTTCTTTGCACGTCACATAACTTTACCAATTTAGCATACCCTGCCCTTGTCTTCAAAATGATGCATACACCTTCAAAACCCTGCACACACCTTCAAAATCCTGCACACTCCTTTAAAACCCTGCACCTGGGTCCAAAACCCTTCACACGCCTTCTAAAACCTGTACATACCTTCAAAACCCATGCCCTAGCTTTCAAAACCTTCAAAACCCTTCACACACCTTCTAAAACCTGTACATGCCTTCAAAACCCATGCCCTAGCTTTCAAAACCTTCAAAACCCTTCACACACCTTCTAAAACCTGTACATGCCTTCAAAACCCATGCCCTAGCTTTCAAAACCTTCAAAACCCTTCACACACCTTCTAAAACCTGTACATACCTTCAAAACCCATGCCCTAGCTTTCAAAACCTTCAAAACCCTTCACACACCTTCTAAAACCTGTACATGCCTTCAAAACCCATGCCCTAGCTTTCAAAACCTTCAAAACCCTTCACACACCTTCTAAAACCTGTACATACCTTCAAAACCCATGCCCTAGCTTTCAAAACCTTCAAAACCCTTCACACGCCTTCTAAAACCTGTACATACCTTCAAAACCCATGCCCTAGCTTTCAAAACCTTCAAAACCCTTCACCTGCCTTTAAAACGCTTTACACAACTTCAAAACCCTTCACACTCCTTCAAAATCCTTCACTCGCCTTCAAAACCCTTCACACACCTTCAAAACCCTGCACACTCCTTCAAAATCCTTCACTCGCCTTCAAAACCCTTCACATGCCTTCAAAACCCATGCCCTAGCTTTCAAAACCTTCAAAACCCTTAACACAACTGATTTCACAACGCTTTACACAACTTCAAAACCTTTC